CTTCTCCTCTCTCTCTCTCTCTCTCGTCCTCTTTTCTTTTTTATTCCGATTATTCGATGTTTCTTTTTTCTCTCTCTCTCTCGCTCCCTCTCTTTTCTTTTTCATCTTCCTCTCTCTTAATTGAAAATTCCGGTTTGAGGAGGGGGTGAGATCGAGGGGGGTCCGGGGTCGATTGGCCGGATGTTTCTCTTTGGACCATCTGAAGGTGGTCGTAGATACGACGGTTTATTGGAATTTTATTGGTGTATCTGATCACGGTCGCTATGGATCGGGATATCAATTTCGTTTTGACGTCTCGGAGAAGTTGATTTGGATGATTTGTCTCCAACTTTTAAGAATTTTTCGCATCTCGAAAAGATGAGGCTGAACGTTGCTGAATTTTGAGGTTAGGTGATCGACGGTTGGCGAGATGTTTAACTTCGCGAAAGTAACTCGACTTACTTAGAAAAGTCTCGAATAACCGATCTGTGACTTCGACGGAACGTAAATCTAGATAAGTTAAACACGAGCTTTGTTTGAAACTGCCAGATAGGAAACTTTCCGCGTAAAAGAAATAAAAAATCCTTCGATGTTATTCTAAATCTCGACGCTTCGTTTGAAAGAAAGAAAACAAGCAGAGTATTAAAATTCAAAGAAATTAACTACTTCGATACCTATATGGACCTATTTAAATTCAACTTAAATCTCTAAAAATTTTTAAAACAGTCCCTTAAAATTTAAGGAATAAAATAAAATTAAAATTAATAATAATAAACCCGATACAAACTGTTATTAAAAAATTAATTAACACAATCTGTTTACAATATTTTAAAATGATTTTGACAAATCATCGAAAATTGATCGAGCATCGAAGCGTTCCGTGATTCACAAACACGGATCGTTAATGCCCCTGGTCCCGCGCTAAATCGTTCTATTAATAAAGAGTACCGAGACGCAGGACGATTGAGAGCTACTGGCTTTGAGGCTGAGCGATAGCACGCGTCACGAGGACGTTTCTGCGCCAGAAATAGGCCGGAACCTCATTATTTTTATTCTTAACCATGAAATTAGCAGCACACCTCCGTGCCTATGACGGTTTCGTGCAAACGTACGCTGACATTCGTCGATGAAAATCCCGCCCAGAACTTTTATCACATTTCCAGCCGGTATATCGATTCGTTATCGCGTGTTCACCTCTGTGTACCGTTTTCGCCGACGACTGGCACGTTTTAAACGGCCGAATTTTCGTCGTAAACCGGGAACGAGACAGTTTAAACGCTTCTAAATATCCGCTCTTAATTCGACGTTTCAAATTGTCAGGTTGGTAACAAATCCTTGATGATTTAGCAGAGCCATCTCGCGTGTTTCTCCTAATAACTCTTAATTTGTGTGAATTTGCAGCTTTCGTTGTACAAACGTAACGACTAAATAGAATTTATTCTATGTCCATAGTAAAAAGTAAAAAGTACCATAAATATTATTGAACGATCGAGTATCTTATTTACTCATGTTACGAACATGAATTTTAATGAAGAATAAAGAAGTTATAACGAATTCTAAAAACATGTAATATCGAAACATTCTAAATGAAATCATCGCCAGCAATACCACGCCTAATTCACAAGCTTGTACGATTAAAAAATAAGCATCGAAATAATGCGCAATAATTACACAAACGTGATATCAAAAACCGTAAAAAATTAAATGAAATTAGACAAAAATTCGACGTCGTCTCGATACTGGCAAATTATTAAGAATTCGATACGAAGCTATTGAGGTTAGAAATTCTAAAATTCGACATCGATTCGAACATTATATCCATAAAAATATAAAATTCGATATTCGTTGGAAAATTATCAGGACGAAAATCTAAAATTCGATATCGATTCGAAGATAGTAGGATAGTTAGAAATGTAAAATCCTATTCGTTGAAAAATATATCGACGATCCAATGACGCGTGGCGTCAACTCACGACTTCGCGAACGTTGTTTCGATCACGGTAAAACAAGTAACGGAAAAGTAAAAAAATCACTCACCTGAAGCTCCTCCTTGCACTGACGTTCCTCTTCGAGACTCATCCGTTTTTCGTGCTTCTTGTAGTAACGCCTCTTGGCGGCTTGTAGGTTGAACCACGTGTACGAGAAAGACTTCACGAATGGTAGAAGGGCCTCAATGAATGGATGGAACTCATCCTGCGTGCACAAACGATCACAAACTGATTAGCGACACGTTTAACCGGCTTTGTTTTCGTCTGTCGAGAACGAGGGATATCCACGAATCGTCGTCGTCCCATCCCATACGAGTCCCAAAGGAATACAAACAGCACCGATGTTTACCGTGCACGCGCTCCATTCGGAAAGAGCATCGTCGAATCGAATTCGAACGAGGACGCGACAAAGATAGTAGCTGATTGGTTGTTCGAATTCTGCATAGACGCGCCATTTTCGAAGTTTTATTCGTTGAAATTTGTATAATAAAAAATAAAAAAATAACAAAACAGCAATATATATTTGATTCATAATTATACACTTTTTAAACATTTCCTTCTTCTTTTTTTTAAAATCACTTAAAAATTAATCTTGCTTGAAAATTGATATGCTCGAATCGAGCTCGATCGAACTCGCGACGAAAACGAAAGCTGATTGGTCGTTCGAATTCCGTCTATTACATGGCGCGCTATTTTCAAAGCTTCATTATTCTTCCAAGATTCGTAATTCAAAAAATTTATACTTCTTAAAAAAAAAAAATTAGTTTGTACTCATAAAATCTCAAGGTTAGTTTCACAAAAGAATATTCTCTCGTTCTCGTACTGTGAAACGCTTATTCAACTTATTACTTCTCTTTATCATGCAAGGATTTATTGTGCAAGTAATCTCGATTAATTTTTCATGCAATGAGATCAAAGGTTTTTTTTTTCCTCCAAACTTCTATTAACAAAATATCACTTTTTTTTAACAAAAAAAAAAAAAAAAAAGAAACCTCCTACGAATATATATATATATATATATATATATA